CCCCCCCCCGATTTCTAGAAATCATTGGTTATGACAGACACCTTTTTTCAAGTTTACAGTGTCACAGAGTTTGCACGGCATGTTGACATATTCAAAGAGCCTTACAGGCATTCTGTTGTAGTGATTTCTACAAGATAAATACGGACAAACACAACCCAATCAGAAAATAAGTATAACGACAACAGTCGTGAGAGTCTGACCCACAAATCGAGCAGTCACCAAGACTTGCAAAGAAAAAGCTTCCTATGTATTATAATCTAAAGCACTACAAAATCATTAATAAATCATAAGAAAATCCTTGTGCACAGGTACATAATCAATGTCGTCTCCGGGATCCATTTAGAAGCTTAGCAGCATATTTGAGCCTGCACAGTTATTGAGATCAGCTTCCTATCTGAATGTAGTATTATAACTTGTTGTCAAGCACTTCATGAATACAGAGAACTTTTGTACTACTCTAATATCTCCTGAGGAAGATCCAATTTTGAAATGTTATATAATCTGGAGACGACGTTATGTACCTATGCACAAGGATTTTCTTATGATTTATTAATAATGTTGTAGTGCTTTAGATTATAATACACAGGAAGCTTTTTCTTTGCAAGTCTTGGTGACTGCTTGATTTGTGGGTCAAACTCTCATGACTGTAGTGATTTCTACAACAGCCCAGTCAGGTAGGCTGGCATTATTATCTGTGTATTGCAAGAGGCAAGGCTGGTGCTGAGGGGGAGTGGCTTGCTTAAGGTCACCAGGGCAGGCAAGATTCAGAGAAGGGACTTCCTGGTTTATAGCTCACTCTGCTCCCACTACACTATCTGTGCTTCCTTACCTTGATGTGGTGCAGGGATACAAAATGGCAGGCTAGAGCAGGGGTGTCAAACATGCGGCCCAAGGGCTGAATCAGGCCCTTGGAGGGCCACAATCCGGCCCACAAGGCCCTGGCTGTTTCCTACTTCCATTTGTAATTCTGCTGCTGCTGCCATGTTACAGCTTGCTTTACCAGTCTCTCTCAATTGCACAAAAGAGATCAATAGGCAAGGCTCTCCTGTGCGATTGAGAGAGTCTGGTAAAGAACTGGCTGAGGCTCCTCCCCCCTCATCCTCCCAGAGCAGAGGTGTCAGCTATCAGAGACTTAAATAGACAAAATATTGCAAGAGTGCTAGTGTTTTAAGCATGTTTTATTTAAAGTTAAAAAAATCTTTAATTGAGTTTGTCTGTGTCCTTTATAAAGTTTGTATCTCTGCTACTTGGCATTTAGGGTTGCCAAATCTTTTTTACCTGGCAGCGGGGGGCTCCTGCCCGGCGTCCTGAGTGCATGCGCGCACGCGAACTGCATGCACGCTGCCCGGATGTGACGTCATGACAGGGGGATTTGGCAACCCTATTGGCATTACATTTTATGACACATGGCCTGGCCCAACAAGGTCTCATTTATGTCAGATCCGGCCCTCATAACAAATGAGTTCGACACCCCTGGGCTAGAGGTTTAAACCCCAGCTCAGCCGCAAAGCTCAGTGCTTGATCTTATCATTTGCTTTTCAGTCAAAGTGACTTCACTCACGAAGCTGTCTTCTACTGAGTCTGGTGCTCTGTATTGTCTGCTCTGACGAGCAGCATCTCACCAGGGCAGGGTTCCCCAACGTGGTGCCCATGGGCACCACGGTGCCTGGCAGTACTTCCCCCGGCACCTGCCACACCTTTTTCAGAAAGAGGACAAAGACATTTTAAGGCTTGTTGTTAGAATCATAGAATTGGAAGGTACCTCCAGGGTCATCTAGTCCAACCCTCTGCACAATGCAGGAGATTCACAAATACCTTCCCCCACACCCCCAGTGACCCTCCAGTGGCAGCCCTTATTCAAACGGAAAGGGTTTTGCATAGTTGCAATAGCAGCCGCTGCCACTGGAGGATCGGGCAGACTGCCAAGTACCTGGGCTTGTGGTTCCATTCTCTCTTCAGGCTTTTTATTTCCCCTTCCCCTTCCCTTTCTCCCTCTCTCCCCTCCTTCGGCTTTCCTTCATTCTCCTGTGATTTTTTTTTAGCAAATGAGGAGGGAGGGATTGTGTTTGGCTCCACCTCCTGTGGAAGACATTTTGGGTTTGGTTCCGCCTCCTGCAGAAGCCATTTTGGGGTGGCACTCAGCACCACCTCTCAAAACCCCAAAGGTAACCTCAGGCTTAAAAGACTGGAAACCCTTGTTCCAGGGGCTTAGGATGGAAGTCTTTCTCTTCACCTACTGCCTGGTCCTTTCAACTGGAGATGCTGCTGAGGACTGAACCTGGGACTTTCAGCATGCCAGACAGATGCTGTGTCACTGAGCCACAGCCGCTTCACATAATTTTTTTGAGGGTGCAGTGAGAAAATACTTCTATGTACCAGTCTGGGCTCCTTTTAAGATGGCCAACACACAAGAACCAGTGTGGTGTAATGGTAAGGGTGTTGGACTAAAACTGGGGAGATCCAGGTTCAAATCCTTGGTCTGCCATGGAAGCTTGCTGGAGGACCTTGGGCTAGCGTTGCCAACTCCATCTTAGGGAATTCCTGGAGAATGAGGGGGCAGTGCCTCAGAGGGCAGAGTTTGGGAAGGAGAAGGAGCTCTGTGGGGAGTGTGATTGTGAGGGAAGTTGTCCTCTGAAGCTACCATGTAATTCCAGAGATCTGCAGTAATTCCAGGAAAACTCCAGCCCCCCCCCCCCCCCTGGGAGGTTTACTCCTTCTCCACTGTGTCTTTCTCAGCTTGTTTCATTGTGTCTCATAGAAATCAGAGTATATGTGAGGATATTATTAATATATAGATCTATAGCTATGGACCTCTGATGGGTCGACTCTGTCCTGAAGTGACAAAGCCTAAGCTTTCGGAACAGACAGGGAGGATTAGACTTAAATTCCAGTGCAAAAAGGAGTCAGACAAGGTTGCCTTTTGGCTCCCTTCATATTTAACATCTAAGTTAACTCCTTAATCACATGCCTTCATTCAACTGATACTCATGCTCCCTCATTCTCAGGTAGCAGAAAGGTTCTGCTGACAATGCTGTATCCCAGACAAGGATTGGCCTGAAGCGAGCCCTGATAAAATGTAAACCCGCCGCCGCATGTCTCCTTTGGCCATACTTCCCCTTGTATGGCATTGTGTGGCAGCCAGAAGTTCTAGCTCTTTAGCATGATGCATCACTAGGCGGTAAGCTAGACTTGTTTTTAAGGCAAGAAACATTTCAGAGGTGGTTTGTTGTTGCTTGCCTCTGTGTCGTGACCCTAGTATTCCCTGGAGGTCACCCTTCCAAATACTAGCCAAGGCCAACCCTTGCTTAGCTTCCGAGATGTGATGGGATTGGGCTAGTTTGGGTTATCCAGCTTAGGGCACGAAGAAGAAGAGAAGAAGAGAAGAAGAGATGAGATTTATACCCCACCCTTCACTAGGAGTCTCAGAGCAGCTTACAATCTCCTTCCCCTTACCCTCCCCACAATAGACACCCCGTGAGGTAGGTGGGGCTGAGAGAGCCCTTTTGAGGACTGCCCTTGAGAGAACAGCTCTGAGAGAACTTGTGACTGACCCAAGGTCACGCGAGCAGCTGCCTGTGGAGGAGTGGGGAATCAAACCTGGTTCTCCCAGATTAGGTATAAATAAAGAATAATGCAAATAAAACACCTTTGTGGCAGTAAAGGACAGAAACATTTTTTTAAAAAGACAACAAAAGTGGAGCATTTTAGGAAGCTCAGTCTTGTATCCCAGTCCCAAAATTTGGGGCTGGTTTATCTCTACTGCTTGCTCCCACCCCACCCCCAGGGTCAATGAACCTACAGGTGGTAATATAATGTAACACTTCAGTGAAGATTACTAAAGAATATTAAAACCACATTTATTTATGCACTGTTCAAAAATACCTCTCAAAGTACATACGATATCAAAATATCTTATAGTTTCAGTATCAATATAATGCATTCAGCTTGTAGCGTAAATCATCACTGTTTACAATGGGAGTCAACTGATTTCTTGGCAGAAACCCAGAACAAATGTTTGGTGAGACGTGAGTCCAGATAAGTAAGTTTTTCTGCTTGAGTGTTTACAGATAAGGAGCAGTTCCACCTTTGAAAGAGAAAGCAATTACGAAACTGGGAAAGGAGCTAGCGAATCCATCAAGCTGGAACTGAGTTTGTAAATATGCGGAGCCTAATTGCTGGGCTGTCTTCATTTGGAAAGTTCATATACAGCGACTCTGGGGACTGAAATTGCAACAGATATCCAACACTGTGGAGAGAATGAGATACAACTTCGCTGCCGGCTGATAGCGTTCAAGGAACTAGCTGGAACTGAGTTAAACAGAGACCTTGGGAACTTAAGTTACAATATATATTCAGCATTGTGATGGGAATGAAATGTAACCCTATTGCTGTTTGACATGCTTTCAAGCAATAAGTTGAAATTGATGGTTTATGCTACAAGCTGAATGCATTATACTGATACTGAAACGAAAATATATTTTGATATTGTGTGTACTTTGAGAGGTATTTTTAAACAGTGGAGAAATAAACGTGGCTTTAATATTCTTTAGTAACATTCCCAGAAGTGTTAACATTATATTACATGTCAAAACCTCCAGGTGGTGGCTGGAGGTCTCCTGGGATTACAATTCATCTCCAGGTGACAGAGATCAATTCACCAGGAGAAGGTGGATTCTACGGCATTTTACCCCGTCGAAGTCCCTCCCCTCCCGAAACCCCGCCTTCCTTAGGCCCCACCCCCCAAATCTCCAGGTATTTCCCAACCTGGAGCTGGCAACCCTACAGAGGGGGAGAGATCTCTCAGAGCTCTTCTGTCTTGGCCTGGCAGTTCCAAATTCTGAGGCCATTTTGTTTATTTGTCAGATTTATTGGCTGGGATCTATGAAGACTCACCTTGGTGATCCTCAGAATGCCTCCTCCTCAGAAAGGGCCCACTCCCCAAACTCCCTTGTCACTGTGCTATCAGAGCATAATGTTGTATGTGAATCTTGACACCACAGGGGCCGCCTCAGACGTCGTGCATGGAACTATGGAAGTCAGAAGGAAGAGAAACCATACTGCTGCTGAACTGATGTTTCCCGATCTGGTAAGTAACCAGGGCAAATAAATGGCTAAACTTTGGGGGCAGGGGAGATCAGCTCTTCTGGGTGCCAGATGTTAAACACCTGGGCTGACTGGTTCCTGTGCTTTGGATCCAACAGTATGAGAAGGGAAAGTGGAAAATGTGCCTTGCGCCATTCTGCTTCCTTCATCAATGGCACAAGAGGAGGGCATAAGGCTGCCAGCTCCGCGTTGGGAAATACCAGAAGATTTTGGGGGTGGAGCCTAATGAGGGTGGGGTTTGGGGAGGGGAGGGACTCCAGTGGTGTAGAATGCCATAAAGCCCACCTTCCAAAGCAGCCATTTCTCCAGGGGAACTAATCTCTGTTGCTTGGAGACCAGTTATAATAGTGGGAGATCTCCATCCACCACCTGGAGGTTGGCAACCCTAGTAGGGCTGCCTGCTTGGCCGCCCTGGTTGGTTGGTGCTGCTCCTTAGAGCAGCAGAGGGAAATGTGGGGAGGGGGGTAGGCATTGCTCCAAGGATGCTACGTCACTTCCAGTGTGGACCTGAAGGTGGTGCTATCATGTCAGCGTGACATTCAAGTGTTTCCCTGGGCTAACCTTAGAGTGTCATGCCGATGCTATGATGTCACTTCCAGGTTTGTGCCGGAAGTTTATGTTGCAGTGTTGGAACAATGCCGGTTCACACGTCCCCCACCTCCACTAAAACTCCAGCTGGGTTGCCAGCAGAGAAAGATCAACAGAGACACTTGTTGTGGCAGTTCAGTAGAAGCATGAATCGAGTCCACAACTAGCATTTATCTGTGAGAATAAAAGACAGTAAAATGCTGTTGGGGCAGCCGGCAATAGCACACCTTCTGACCACTGCAATGCTAATTTAACACGACCATCCAACACCCATCTTTATCACTACCATGGCCTTCCATTTTCCTGCCCCAGGTGAGGAATTACTCTGACCAAGCTCTAATTTTCTGTCCTGAGGAACTCAGGAATAGGAGAAAAAATGGCTTCTGTATAGTGACACTCTGGGAATTTCCCTTAGTGTCTCTACTAAAGCCCATAGAGACTAGCAGAGGCAGCCTAGAGCATCCCTTCGAAGTGACATCACATCCTCTCCAAACTGTACCCTCTTCAGGCACTCCACCCAATCTCCTGGCAGTGGGGCTCAGTTGGAAACCCTGCCTGGGTTTGAGCTAAACAGCTCCAGCAGAATCGCAGAGTCCACCTGACCTGGCTTGCTCCTGGACCATTTTTAACTCTCAGTCTGTCCCTGTGCACAAATATACAAATTGCACTTTATAAATCAAGGCAGTTGTTGTTCAGTCGCACAGTCGAGTCCGACTCTTCGCGACCCCATGGACCAGATCACGCCAGGCCCTCCTGTCTTCTGCCGTCCTCTGAAGTTTGCTCAACGTCATGTTCGTTGCATCGCTGACACTGTCTCACCATCTCATCCTTTGCCGTCCCCGTCTTCTTTGACCTTCAGTCTTTCCCAGCATCAGGGTCTTCTTCTCCAGTGAGTGCTCCCTTCTCATTTGGTGGCCAAAGTATTTGAGCTTCAGTTTCATTATCTGGCCTTCCAGGGAACAGTCAGGGTTGATTTCTTTGAGGATTGACTGATTTGTTCTTCTTGCAGTCCAAGGGACTCTCAAGAGTCTCCTCCAGCACCATAGTTCAAAAGAATCTATTCTTCGGCGCTCGGCCTTCCTTATAGTCCAACTCTCACAGCCATACATGACTACTGGGAATACCATTGCTTTGACCATGCGGACTTTTGTTGGCAGGGTGATGTCTCTACTTTTTATCATGCTGTTTAGGTTCGCCATCACTTTCCTCCCAAGGAAATCTTTTAATTTCATGGCTGCTGTCACAGTCTGCGGTGATCTGGGATCCCAGGAACGTGAAGTCTGTCACGACTTCCACGACTTCCCCTTCTATTTGCCAAGGAGTGATGGGGCCGGATGCCATGATCTTAGTTTTTTTGATGTTGAGCTTCAAGCCCACTTTTGCGCTCTCCTCTTTTACCCTGAGCAAGAGGCTCTTTAGGTCCTCTTCACTTTCTGCCATTAGAGTGGTATCGTCTGCATATCTGAGGTTGTTGATCTTTTCCCCAGCAATCTTAATTCCCGCTTGTGATTCATCCAGGGCTCTTAAGGTCCTCTTCACTTTCTGCCATTAGAATGGTATCATCTGCATATCTAAGGTTGTTGATCTTTTCCACAGCAGTCTTAATTCCTGCTTGTGATTCATCCAGGCCAGCATTTCGCATGATCTACTCTGCATATATATTAAATAAGCAAGGTGACAATATACATCCTTGTCGTACTCCTTTTCCTATGCGAAACCAATCAATTGTTCCGTATCCGGTTCTAACTGTCGCTTCTTGACCCTTATACAGGTTTCCCCAACGACATGTGAGGTGGTCTGGTACTCCCATCTCTTTAAGGACCTGCCATAGTTTGTTGTGATCCACACAGTCAAAGGCTTTAGCATAGTTAATGAAAATCAAGGCAGTAGCAACATGCAAATAGGCAACACCACTATTGATAAAACTTGTCCAGGAAATCAGCAGTTGTCACCCGAGTCTGTTATGTAAGTCCATTGCAGAGGCACCCCAAAAAGGTTTTTTGTGGCTGGTAGTGGTGTAGAATGCCACTGATTTGAGAACATCTTTCTTTGTTTTTGCAAGAGACACTTAATTCCTTGAAAATCTTATCAGTGAAAAATCAGATGGAGAAAATGAAAAACGAGCTTTCCCTGAAATGCAGCGTTTCAGTGTGTTTAAGGGCATAACTCACAGATGAAAGAGATACCTTCATGTTGTCTTTTGATGTATTTTTTAAAAAATGTAAGCTTATAGAAGAAGAAGGCTGCAATGAACCAGCTACACCACAGAAGAAACAGTCCTGAAAGAAGACGTGTTTTTAGTTGTGCGATTTCTTTGTGGGATGCTTTGAAATGCCCCTTCAGTGTCCCGTGGTTCGTTGGCTCTGAATTGTATTTTTTCCTTAAGTTTTTTTTTTAATTTGTTTTCCATGCCTGAAATGTTCCATTTGCTGCTTTCCAGTTTTGGTCGACTCTTGGCTATTTATATTTTTCACTCCATTTCCTTTCCTCGCAGGCTGATCTGGAGCCTGGGGACTTGATTGAAGTCTTTCGCTTTGGATACCAGCACTGGGCCATCTATGTAGGAATTGGCTATGTGATCCATCTGGCCCCACCAAGTAAGGAACTCCGCTCCCCTTGGGGTGCCTCCATCAGGACTGGTGGTGGGGGGGAGAGGTCTCTCAGTATAGAGGTAGACATCCCAGCATCGCCCCCATTCCCTGCTTCCTCTTCACAGTCCAACAGGGGAACATTGGGGTGGGGGTGGTGATGGCGGTGCTGCTTGCTGACTTTGCACTGACACCTGATGTCCCTTCTGGCAAAAAAACCCAGAAGTGACATCATTGCTTCAGTGATACTCTAGGATTTGCCATAGAGTTTCAGATGAAGTGACCCACACTTGACAGGGATGCTCTAGGCTGACCGTGCATCGAGAAGGGGGTTGGACTAGATGGCCTGTATGGCCCCTTCCTACTCTGTGATTCTATGAATCCTAGAGTTCCTTTTAACCGTAGAGTTTTGGTTGAAGCCTAGAGCATTGCCCCCTCAACACGATGACATAACTTCTGGAGTTTTGCTAGTTCAACTGTCTCCACCTCCCGGCATCTCCCCAGTCGGAACTGCCAAATGACCTGAAATGTATTCGGCCCAATTCTGTTCCTTTACAAACAGCTTGATCTGTGGAAATCAGAAAGTGCCTGGCGGCTCTTCATGGCATAGCGATAAGCACGATCATCCTGCTAATAGCTGAAGATCAAGTTCTCTTTAAAGGCTAAGCACAAAGGCTGGCAAACTCTGGCCTCCTTGGGTTGCACTTTGGGAATGCATTCTATAGTTTGTTCAGTCATAACATGAGTGCATTTTCCCCTTTTTATGAAAATGTTTGCCTTGCATGTGTAGCTCTCTTGCCCACACATCTGACATTTGTGAATTCTGATGCCTTTCTCTCTCAGTAGAATTAGTTTTGTTCAGAAAGAAGAACCAAGGGAGCCATCCTAAGAGACTTAGATAGACTTGGAGAGCATAGGTGGGTCTTCACAGGATCATGCTTAGGTCTATTGAATGGGGCTTACTCCCAGGAAAATACTCTTAGGATTGCACTGTAAGGGTCTATCTACCAACTACTGGGCTTAAACGAGTTGTGTCAGGACTTGCAGTGTTCCCTCTAAGCTGAGTTAGTGTGAGCTAGCTCATAGTTTTTTAGCCTCCGGCTCACACATTTTTGTCTGAGCTCAGGAAGGAGGGCTCCAATGCAAACTAATTTATGCAGCAGCCAAATCACTCACTCACAGCTTTCATGCCAGTAGCTCACAAAGTAGAATTATTGCTCACAAGGCTCCACAGCTTAGAGGGAGCATTGGTCAGGAGGCCCCCTGGTCTGAACCATAGGAGATTACAGGCTAACATACAGCCCCACAAAGGGGAAAGTAGTACCTCCCCCCCCACCATTAGGGAGAATAGCATGGATGGGGAAGTCTGAAGAGCACTCTCCAGTCCTGCGTTTAGGCCTCCGTGCAAACTATTTCTAAGGACAGTAATGTTTGTTGTAATGCCATATGATTCAGGTAGGGGCTCCCTCAGCCCAAATGTCACGTGTATTTTGGCCTTTTAAGGGTTAATAGTCATTCTTTCTACCCAGGGAACTCTGGGAAATGTTCTTGGTGGTGGTGGGGCTAAGGGATTTCTAACATAACTCTGTGCACTATTACCAGACTACAGCTCCCAGGATTCTTTGTGGGATGCCATGCTAATTAAGCTGCTGTATTCGTACTTATTTTCCATGATGGTGGTTTTAGCTCAGGCTGGTTTTTAGCCTTATTAATTTTATGATGTGGTTAAGAGGAGAATTATGGGCTGGTAGTAGGTTGATAGGTCTTGTACTGTTGTAAATGTTTTAACTTGCATGTTTAATTTGTTGTAACAAATGAAGGTCCGTTTCGTAGACAGACTGGTGGGATACACGTCATTTTAATAGAGAAAATAGATAATTAAAACTGACACATATTTTTAGCGCAGAGAGTCCACTGAAACCACCCTGCTGAGTAGGGTTCCCAGACCCCTGGTGGAGGTGGGGTTTCCCTGCTGACAGGCCCCACCGCTCAGCCACTGATTAACTGGCCGGCGGTGGGGACTTCCCCCCAAAAGAGGGAGGCTCTGCCGAGGTGCAGCAACATGCCTACATCACTGCCCATGTAACCTGGAAGTAATATCATCACTTCTGGGACGTTGGGGTGACGCTCAGGTATCTGGGCAAAAACTCTATGGTAAATTTGGCTTCTACCATAGAGTTTTTTGCCCAAATACCAGAGCATCAGCCCAACATCCCAGAAATGATGGTGTCACTTCTGGGTCACGTGGGCCGTGATGTGGGCATATTGCTGCATGTCAGCAGAGCCTCTCACCTGCTCCCGGTAAGTCCCCCCCAACCCCCCGCCGGTTTCTAGGAGGACCTGGCAACCCTACAGCTGAGTCACACCAAAAATCCATTTAGTCCAGCATTCTGTTTTCAAGAGTGCCATTTTTTAAACCTCAACATCAAGTATACTGCACTTGCACATGGAGGATCCATGTGATGATCGTGTCTCCTGCCAAACCTATCCCTTGCTAAGCCAAGGTTGTCTCTATATTGTGAAGCAGATATAGTGCATAATGTAGAATGAATGAATGAATGGGATACGTTTTGCCAGAACTCTACAATCTTTTGCTGATCTGATGGGGAAAGTTTCGCCACAACGTTTGAGCGCCCACTGTTGCCTCTCTTAGGAGCTCACAAGACCTTTCCCCCCTTTTGACAGCTGAATATGCTGGAGCGGGCTGCGCCAGCCTCATGTCCACTTTGACTGACAAGGCCCTGGTCAAGAAGGAGCTGCTGAGGGACGTAGTTGGGAGGAACCGCTACCGAGTTAACAACAAGCACGACTCCAAGTATCCCCCTCTGCCCAGGACCAAGATTGTCCAGCGGGCCGAGGAGATGGTGGGCCAGGAGCTCCTGTACAAAGTCACAAGTGAGAACTGTGAGCACTTTGTCACCGAGCTGCGATACGGCGTGGCCAAAAGTGACCAGGTAGGTGGGATCATAATAAAGGGGCTGGATCCTGTGGATTTATTCCGCTAATACTTTGCTTTTCCTGCATGGCTCTGGTTCCAGAGGAAGGCTCCTGGTGCCAGGGAAAGCACTGCCATTTGCAGAACAGATCTGTGGGACACAACTCAATAACCAATTATAATAATTTACCCTAATAATGCATAATAAAAATGTCTGTGCTTCATAAATTATACAGCTGGCATCCCTTGAGAGGAATTAGGGGGAGCAGACAGGTGTGGCGGTGTTGTCACTTCCAGCAGAAGACAATAGAGTTTTGGGAGAATCCTAGAGTTTCACCCAGACATAGGGCTCTTCTGCATTCTCATTTTACTCACTTGTAAGTTCCAGTTTCTTTGGGATTCCCCCCCCCCCCCCTCGTTTTTCATGGGTTATGCTCCCTCTAGTGGTTGACTCGATGTCACACGAGTTTCCAGCATATCTCCCTACAGATTTAAACGGCAAGGAGGTATGCAGGAAACAAACCTGTCTGATATTAAATCGACCACAAGAGGAAGCAAAACACAGGCAGAACAGAAAAACCAGGAACTTACCAGGGAGTAAATTAAGAATTTGAAAAGGCCATAATGATCACACTTCTATTTTTTTTTTTGCTGGAAATGACACTGTGTGATGGAGTGATACTGGCACAACACTGCCCCCTTCATTTTCAAGGGAAGTGTCAGAGGTGAATGGGGTAAGTGGCACTGTACACACATTATTTTGGTAATCCTTACAACTGTAAGTTACTTCTAGCATTGTTCTTCCCAGATTGGCACATGTGGGCTGGGCCTGAGAGAGGGTATGTCACTTAAGCCCACTTAGTTAGTTTACAACAGAGCTTAGATTTGAGCCTGAAACCTCGGTGTTACGTATTGAACCTAAGCCATTCCTCAAGCTGTACCTAAAAGGGGCTGAGCTTGCTTCTCTAGAACAAAAGCTCGCCTGGATCCAGGAACTAACAAATAGATAAGTGGTGTAATATAAATAGCCTATCACTGGGAGTGGGTGTGTGTCGGGTGTGGTATTTGCAGGCTTTATAAGCAGGGCTCAAGCTTATCACTGAATAAAACAGAGCTGATCACTGCAATGCGTCCTAGAACCCAGGATTTAACACTCCCCAAATACAGCTCATTCCCTTAGTCAGTATATAAGCGTTATTCTCATGCTGGATGCATGGAAATATGGTAACCTTTGATCCTGACTTGTGAGGAATGAGTGATTTCTGACTTGCTTTTGTCCCTTGATGTCAGCCGGGAAGCCCTTCTTTGTTCTGAAACTGAATTCTCTTCTGAAAGTCAAAGCCAGAAGTGTTTTGTTTTGTTTTAGAATGCCTCTGAAAAAAATAGAGATGTTTCTTAAGGGAAGGTTGTATATGAAGGGGGCTCTGAACAGCGAGAAGGGGTGAGAACCATTTTTAAAAAAACCATTGGAGCAAATGTTTATGCTGGAACAGCTCCACTTTTGTAAGTAAGCTTTAAGCCAGATAATCGGGTCTCTCTTTTTAAAAATGGGGCTCTTCCTGCTGGCAACGGTGCCTCCTTCGGGAGAGCAGGAGGCAACAACGGGCTCTTCTCTCAACACGCCCAGCTTTCCTGGTTCACAGCTCAGCCATTTGCTGGAAAAACGATGCACGGTTTGAAAATATGGATATCAGAAGACGGGTGTCCCCTGTTTTTCTCCATGACATATTGCCAGGTTCGCTTCCAGTGAGCCAGTTTGGTGTAGTGGTTAAGTGTGCGGACTCTAATCTGAGAGAATCGGGTTTGATTCCCCACTCCTCCACTTGCACCTGCTGATGTGACCTTGGGTCAGTCACAAGCTCTGGCACAGCTGTCCTTGAAAAAGAGCAGTTTCTGTCAGGAGCTCTCTCAGCCCCACCCACCTCACAGGGTGTCTGTTGTGGGGAGGGGAAGGGAAAGGAGTTTGTGAGCCACTCTGAGACACCTTTGGGTAGTGAAGGGCGGGGTATAAATTCAATTTCTTCTTCTTCAGTGTTCATTGTGACATGGAGATCCATTATAAGGCGGCACTAAATGTGAAGGCATCCTCATGGCTGCCGTGAAGACACCGCTGCCGTTTTAAAACGCCGCAAGGGCCTGATCCAGTTTGGGATGCAGCAGGGCATTCATTTCCCCCCTTGTACTCTTTGAAGTGTTGACCCCGCCCCCTGCAGCTGTTTTGATACTTTAAAAATGTGTGTGTTGGGAGGGGGGATAAGAGCGCTGTGTTGCAGGCCTAATCCAGATCCGGCCCTCGTGGCCTTTTAAATTGTCTTTAAAAGGGTGGCGGCATCCTTGTGGCCAGGAGGACAACCTCAAGTTCAGTTTGGCCCTTTGAGCCTAACTAAATGTTATAAATGCATGCATTTCCCATGGGGACAAGTTCCTGGTGGCATCTCATGAGTAAACGTGAATCAGGGATTGGGATCACTGTGAGGGAGGTGAAATTCCTGCCTTTCCCCCCTGTGATGTTTTCGGCAGCCGAAACAGCCCCTGGGGGCTGTGGGGAAAGCATTATTTACTCTGTGGGAAGCCAGCAGGTGCCAGCATTCAGTGCATGTGTTGGCTCCCAACAGAGTCCCCAGGCTGTTTGAAGCTTCCAAAAAAATGCATGGGGGAGAAGGCAGGAATGTCTCCTTTCCCAGTGCAGTGGTGCTGTGCCAAATTGGGCCCTGCTGTATGTTTTCTCAGAAGCTGCCATTGGGAATTCACACTTGCAGTGAACGCGTGCAATTTGTAACATAGAATAAGAAGTTTTGGAATTAAAGAATAATATAAGGGGGTGGGAGCACTGCGGGAGGCCAAGAGAAGGGGGGGGTAGGAGAAATGAGAAAAGGGTATATGTTGAGAGAAAAGTTATAATGTAGAATATGTCGATATATCCAAATAATAAAATTTGTTTTAAAAAAAAAATTTGTAACATCTAGTTAGGCTCTTAGAATGCCATAACCACAGAACACTTCCCAAAATCCTTTGCAGCGAAAGGGTGCTGCAGCAGATGTGGAGCCAGGGATACCTTGGTATGCTAAGCAATGTGGAAACAGTTCTCTAAAGCTAGGAAGCTTGGAAAAAGAAATAGCTGTACTAGAAACCCGTTTCTGGGACCCATTTGACTGGGTGCCACTTTGGCCCTCCTTGGTTTTGTAAAGCTACCCATTTCCCGGGTGCCAGCAGCCTGGTGAGTGGAACTCTGCTAAGGTGTGCTACAGGTTCTTAAGTTACCGGTTCAACTGGGAACGCGCTGCGCGACACAGCCCTGGAACACGATACGAGTTCTCCAACATGGTGCGGTTTCCCCTTGTGACGCAGGACCCCTGGCTTAACTGACTGGTTCTCCATTTAACCCCGCAGGTCCGAGATGCCTTGGTGGGCGTTGGGATTGCAGGGCTGGGCTTGGCCACCTTGGGAATCATCGGTGCCATGGTCAAGAGGAAGAGGCAGCAACAGAACCAATAACAGAACCAATTACAGAGACTCTGAGACTTCTGTGTTCTCTTGGGTTGTTTTGTCTGTTTTGATAGTCTAAAAAATGTGGGTTTCCATTGGGGGACGTTGCCCCGGAGTCCTTCTAACCCATAACTCCCTGCCAGGATTCCCATGGACTTGCAAGTAAAAACAGGTGGGATGGCTCATACATATAACTATGCTGCCTCCATTGTGTAGAGAGAGACTGGATTGGCTCGAGAAGAGTCTCTTATGTACGTGTCATCAAATTGCAACCAACGTATGGCCACCACGAAAGGTGCTTTCAAGCCAAGTGAGAAGCCCAGGTGAGTTGGTGGTTTGCCATGGACCTCCCCTGCAGAGTCTTCCTTGGTGGTCTCCCATCCAAGTACTGACCCTGCTTAGTTCCCAAGATCCGATGAGATGGGGCTATACCATACCATTCCACATCCTGACAGGCGTCTCTTGGAAAGGTCAAAATCCCGGTAGAAAAGGTTGCCAACTTCTTATTCAGGCCTTGGTCCTACATTTCACCTCAGCCTACAACTTGGGTTGCCAACTGTCGAACCGACCCCTGCTCCTGTGCCTTTAACAGTGGTTAACAGTGCCTTTAACAGTGGTTGGTTAGCAGCTGACCTTGCTCGGCTCTGTGTGGTGAGCAGTATCACTTGCTGAGTTCTGAATAGGAAACCTCCATTACAGTTTCCACCCCATAGTCAGTTGGCACCCCCCAATTTGTAGATGAGTAATGCTGAGGCCGAGAAGGAGCAGCTTGCCTGTGAGAGAAACTTTAGAGTGGAGAGTGTTGGACTAGAAAGACCTGGGTTCCAATTGCAGCTGGACCATGAAGCTGATTAGGTGACCTTTGGCCAGTCATTCTCTATCAGCATACCCTACCTTGCGGGGTTGTCATGGCAATAACACAGAGGAGAGAACCGCGGGAGCCACCTGAATGCCTTGGAGGAAGAGTGGGACAAAAATGTGATGGGTAGATGGTCTGAGTCCACTGAGTGAGTTAGTGGAAGAGGCAAGGTTTGAATTTGCCATATTTATGCTTGTGGAGTGGCAACTCTGTTATCAACTGGCAAGATGTTCAGTAGTTATTTATATGCTTATATTAAATTTCTGTACCATAGGTTATGGATCTGAATCTAAGCAGTAGTGAAGTTAAGGTGTGGGTTCCATATGGATACAAGTCACATTTAAACAGGCCTTTGTGTGTGTGTGAGATGGTCATTTGTATAAAGGAAGGATGCCCTTGGTGGGAAAAGCAAGCTGTACCCTTTGCATAGCCGAGCTCTTCGGGCAAGCTCTTGAACGGAACGTCTGGGCCTGCGTTGTTGCAGGCTGGAAGATGTTCATAAGGAAACTGTGATTTGTTGTGATTTTAAGTGGTTTGTATTTGCTTTTGACCCAGATTTTTAGGAATGTTGGTTTTCGTTTGTAAACTGCCTCGGGCCCTTTGGAGAAGAAAGGCAGACTAGCTAGAAGTGAAGGAAATAAATTCATCGAGTTGCTGACTCAGGGTATGCAGATCCTGACTCAGCGGGTGCTGTCCACAGAGATTTCAGAAGGGTCTTATGAGGGTTGAGAATTTTAAGTGTTTTCAAATGGGATACCTTCTAGGGCACAGAGAAGATGCCAGTGCTGATATGAGTTACAGTGCAACCCTTAGTGGAGTTACACTCTTGTAAATCAATGAGCTTTAGAAGGGCGTAACCCTGGTTAGACTTGCACTGTTGACCCGGCCACCCGCTTCTGAGATCTCAGCACATTTTGCAGTCATGAGGGCTAGAAACTTGACATCATTTTTTAAAAAGCCAAACCCTGAAAGCCGAGAGGCGCAAGGGTGTGCACTCAGTACTACAACTGGTCTTTTTTTTCTGAGCATCTTCACAACTGCAGCGTAGGAACGGGGCCAACAACAATCCTGCAGAAGCGAGTCGCAAACTGTTGCAACTGAGACTGGTTTGCCTTGATGGTGTTTCTCAGTAGAATGATTTTTGGCTCTGCCGCTGACTTGGCTGCTGTGCCGTGATGGGAACCTCTCCTTTCAACAATCCTGCGAGGTTGGTTTGGCCAAGTGGGTGTGGCTGGTTCAAGGTCACCTAGAGATCTTCCATTTTTTTTAGTGATCAGCTCAACTTTATTTGTTTTTTTAAATAATCTTTTTATTAATTTTAATACTTTACAAACATGAGAATATGTATCGAAGGATAGGTGCACATCTTTTACGATTCCTAATGACACAACTTTTTCTTTTTTAGTAATCATATATGTATCTGTACAAACATTAACAAACACTACTAAACAGGCCATGAACTAAATTCTAAGCGACAACAGCTTAAAGTATGTTGGTGAGTTTTAAATATGAAGCCTAATGGATACTGCAAAAATTCACGATTAATCATTAAAGATTTAAATTCATAATAGTACCAGGTGTCAAGAGAGTGGAGCAAGTATTAGGTGTGCAAGAGAGTGAGATATACTGGGCTATGCGATTGGCATTCATTTGTTAGGACGTAGTCCAAGAAAGGAAGCCATTTCTCACTAAAATTAGATGATTTGGGATAGATTTCAGATTGCTGCAATCGGTCGGTAATCTCCATAATGTAATGATCCCAGATTTTATTGAACCAATTTTTGGAAGTTGGAGCATTTGGAGATGAGATCTTCCATGACGGAGTGGGGATTCACAGATCTCCACTCTGACCCTTTAATTGCTATACCGCACCGGCTCTCGCACCATGTGGGTGCTGTATCTGTTTGCCTTCACTTGGCATTGGACACGGGCCCTGGGGTTTCCAGCTCTGGGTTATGAATTGCCTGGAGTGGAGGCTGCAAAGGGAGGATATTTGGGGAGGAGCAGGACCTCAGTGTCATCTAAGGCCACAGAATACACCTCCATCCATATTCTCCAGGGGAACTGATCTCTGTCGTCGGGAGATCAGCCTTCGTTCTGGGAGATCTCCAGGTCCCATCTGGCAACCCTAGTGTGGCCCTGCTGCTGTCTATAGTCCAGCAGGTATCACAATGCAGACTAAAGCTAAAAACGGATTTTTATAAAAGACACCGTGCAGTCTAACCGCATTGCAAGTCGCCCTGTTATTCTTCTCTGATTGCATTAAAAATTCTTCTCTGTGGCCTGTAAACAGAATTTTTACTGACCTTGGTTTTAACGGATGTTTTATTTTATTATGATGTAAATATTTTGTCACTAATAAAACTATCTGGCTGACCAGAATTCTGAGTGGTTTATGGGTAGCTTAAGGGGAATGGCTCAGGGTTTCAGCTGGGCCAAACAGCATTTAGTTCCAGGGCTTCACCTTAGAATATATGATACAAGCATGGGGGGGGGGGAAGTGTCTCTGAACAGCTGCAGAGTGCACTTCCTCCTTTCATTTACTGACAATATTTCTGTCCTACCTTTTGAAGAAGACGAAGAAGAGTTGGTTTTTACACCTTGCTTTTCACTTCCCAGAAGAGTCTTGAAGCGGCTTACAATCATCTTCCATTCCTCTCCCCGCAACAGACACCCTGTGAGGTAGGTGGGGCCAAGAGAGCTCTGAGAGAACTGTGACTGGCCCATGCTCACCCAGCTGGCTGCACGTGGAGGAGTGGGCAATCAAACCTGGTTCTCCAGATTAGAGTCCACCGCTCTTAACCACTACACCAAACTGGCTCGACAGAACACGTAGTGACAAAATAAAACCAGTGGATATTGGAGATGGAGGGAAGATACAGCAAGTCTTTTGTGGTGAGGTTGACAAACCCAATAGCAGCTAATGGATAATCTGACAAAGTGGGGAGTTTCCTAAGCACAGGTGGAAGAAGCACTGAGACCTGGGATGTGGTGAAAGCGGCAACTCACTAAGGGGAATTATTGAGTGTACTGATCGACAGGGGTCATTTCCTGGGGGAGCGCACAGGAACGGAGCTCCGGCAGTAAGGAGCCCAGGGGGTGGGCACATGCAACAAGCCCCACCCCCTGCTCCCAGCAGCCCTCAGTTGGGCCACGAGGAGCAAGAAGCAGCCAGGTAAGTTGCAGAGCCCCCCCCCTCCGGCCTGCCTTCAGGTACAAGCTCTCCCTCCTCTGTGAGGGCAGATCTGCGCGCCCCCCCCCCAATAGCTAGCAATCCAAAACAGTCCAGTGGAGCCTGAGTGGTGGGTGTTGCCTTCTGACACACTTCCGGTGATGTCGGGGGTGTGGCATATGCAAATAATTTATGCTAATGAGCTCCACCTCTTTTTCTACTAAATGACCCCTGCTGATCGAGAATATCTTAATCTCATCTTTCTCCTCATGGGCCACATCCCTGCTAAGCTCTGTGTTCCCAGGTCGTAGCCCACCTTGTAGCCGGGTTTAACCACCAATGCTGATTTTAAAGTGCTTAAACTTAGGGTTCAATTAAAGGGGCAGGTTTTAAACATTTAAAGCCCTTCACCGCTTAGGGCCTGCAAACTTGTATCTAGAATTCCCTGACCCATTTCCCATAGCAATAGTGATAGGGCATTAGTATTCCTTTCCCCATTCCGTATATGTAGTGTGTAGAAAATGCAAAAATAAAAAAATTCCCCTTCGGGGGGGCCAAACCCCCCCCCCAAATGAACTTGAAGGACTGTCTCCTCATATGTACCTGAGGGACCCCTTCATTCTTCTCAGCACATTCGTCTTGATGTTCCTCTTCACAGCTAGGTTGGCTACCACCTGGTCACAGGCCTTTTCGGTCGCTGTCCCATCTCTGTGGAACAGTGTGCCAGAAAACATCAGAACAGCTGTGGTCTTCCAGGCGTTCAGAAAATTCTGTCAAGCAGAACTTCTTAGGCCCTGGTCACATGGAGAATTTGCTGCGTGAAAGGCACGAATGCTGGATGGATTTTCAGGGCGCGATCACACCGCAACATCTGGCAAGCGTAGCGCACCCATGACCAACCCGTGGTGTGCCGCCGAAGATGCGCCATTAAAAAGTACCTGCAAAGATCTTCTAGCAAATGGTTTGCCATGGGCTGCAGACGGACTCGTTTGGTGTGATCGCGCTGGCACATGCCTATTCCCTTCGGCCGCCCTCTTTGCAGCGCGCTCCAAAGGACAAAATCCTGGTGCACCGCCATCGCGTCTGATCAGAATGTGACAGCGCAAATAGCTATGCCTCCCCCTGTGTTTTCCGGCACGTGTGGCCAGGGCCTTAGTTGACTACTGGAGGACAGTGGAATCCAAATGAGGTCTGTTACCTGAGAAGGTTGATTTGCTGGATCTTAGCTGTTTTAGTGAAGAAAGCCGACAGGAAAAAAAATGGTTCACTTGAAATGTGGTGTTGGAGGAGAGTTTTATAGATGGACCTCCATAAAGGCAGATAAGTGGGTTTTGGATCAAATCAAGCCTGAATTCTCCCTAGAAGCTAAAATGGCTGAAGTGAGGCTATTGTACTTTGGTCACATAATGAGAAGACAAGAGCCACTGGCAAAGACAATGCTAGGAAAAGCTGAAGGCAGCATGAAAAGAGGAAGACAAATCAGGGCTCTTTTTGTAGCAGGTACTCATTTACATATTAAGTGACACACCCCTACTGTAGCCAATCCTCCAAGAGCTTACAGTAGCTCCTGTAAGAAGAGCTCTGTAAGCTCTTGGAGGACTGGCTACATTAGGGGTGTGTGGCCTAATATGCAAAGGAGTTCCTGCTACAAAAAGAGCCCTGCGAGACCCAACACGAGGTGGGTTGACTCAGCCAAGGAAGCCATGGCCCTCCGTTTGCAAGGCCTTGTTAGCCAAATTGCCTTATTTAATTAATAAACTTGGGGGGGGGATTATGAATATTAAAGGACAATAGGCATAAAATCATAACCTTTGTATACCAGAGTCAGAATTCCCAGAGCCCATGAATAGATGAGGAGACTAGGTTGCTGAAATAATTGGTCTTTTTACTTAATGAACCCTCAAGCATACAATAACAATAAGCAAGCACTCACACATACAATACAGAACTAAGAAATCAGGGTTGAAAAGATAGCGACGTTTGCATGAGCAGGAAGTATCGTCTGTGGGTGATATGTTACCTGTCCGGTGAGAGGAGTAGACCTTGCAGCGAAAAAGGAATAAAATAAAAGGGGAATGGATCATGAGTTGGCCAGTGATACACGGGGAGTGATTCCAAACTGCACAGGAATGGAACCGACAAGATAGGTAGGGGCAAAGGAGAGAGAGCACAAGAGAGCGAACACGGGGACCCCAGAGTCCACCCTCCAAAGCAGCCATTTTCTCCAGGGGAGCTGAACTCTGTAGCCTGGAGACCACTTGTAATTCTGGGAGCTCTCCAGGCCTCACCTGGAGGTTGGCAACAATGCTGACTGCAACAACTCTAGGAGCTCTTTTCAGAATGCAACCCAGCTTGTTCTTCCCACACACCACCAGGAGGCAAACGACCCCACCTGCAAAACACTAACTCTTTCTTATCTGTATAATTCAGAGGTGTCGAACTCATTTGTTAAGAGGGCCAGATCTGACATAAACGAGCCCTTGTTGAGCTGGGCCATGTGTGTCATAAAATGTAATGCCAGGTAGCGGAGATATAAACTTTATAAAAGGACACCAAACACAGAGATTTTTTTTTACTTAAAATAAAAACATGCTTAAAACATTAGCACTCTTGCAATATTTTGTTTATTTAAGTGTCTGATAACTGACACCTCTTGCTCTGAATTATTGCATCAAAATGTCTGTGCTGTTGCAATGTTGAGTACGCTGTTCAGGTGTGTATCTGTAAGCTGCAAACCCAGAGGTCATTTCGGGGGGGATCGTGGGGGATCGCAGTTCCCCCGGGTGAAGTACGGGGGGCGGGGCACATGACGAAGCCCTGCCCCCTGCTTGCCTTGCAGGTCCACCGCCGGGCCCCTCATGGGGCTCAGCAGTGGAGCTGCAAGGCCGGCGGCCGGGACCGTTGGGGGCGGGGTGTGTGGCCTTATGATACAATTCCGGTGATGTCATGGGGTGTGGCATATGCTAATGAGTTATGCTAATGAGTTCCCCTAGCTCCTTTTCTACGAAACGACCCCTGTGCAAACCTACGATGATGTAGCAGCAGAACTGGAAGCAGAAGACAGCCAGTTCCACTGCGGGCCTGATAGAAGCCCTCTGGGGGCCTGATTTGGCCTCCGGGCCACATGTTTGACACTTCTGGTATAATTCTTTGTAACTCTTTACCGCTGCAAGGTCACCCAACTTTTCACCTGGCCTCTGTAGCCATGCCTCTGAAAGCAACACTTTGTTTTATATCTAGTCCATTTCAATCCTGCCCTTCTTCCAGGGAGCTCAGCTTGGTCATGGTGTTATGTCATCCTTTTCTTCCTCATTTTTATCCTCACAACAACTCTGTGAGGCAGGCTTGACTGAGTGTGACTAGATGACCCTGGAGGTCCCTTCCAACTCTATGATTCTATGACCCACCCAGGTCAGCAGGTCACGGCATTTATCTCCGTGCTATCTTCACCTGCTGATTTCTGCACACTGAGCTGCTGTTAAAGGCAATTTTTCCTGATCAGTCGGCAACCATTACTAGGAGTGCCGTTTTTTCTTCTTCCAAACCGAGCCTGATCCTGTGTGCCTTTGTCAACTGCATCGCAGGCACAAATAAAGTAAGTGAGGTTTTTGCTGGTGAGAGAGAAAGGAGAAAAGCTTCACTTGTTGCGTTTCTGCCTGCCGATCACAGGGTTGCCAGCTTTTAAACTGGTCACTCTAGCTGTCCCTTTAATAGCCATTGGAACAGCTAGCAATTAGCAGCTGATGTTATTTACTTCCCTGCCCCTTAAAGCTTCAGCTGCTACGCTCTACTGATGGTTAAATTCCTTTTAACCAGAGGTCATTTCGGGGGGATTGCGGGGGATCGCAGTTCCCCCGAGTGAGGTATGGGGGGCGGGGCACATGATGAAGCCCCGCCCCCTGCTTCCGGCCCTCATTCAGCCAGGAGGAGGCAGGAGAAGAGGGAGGGTAAGTTGCTTCCTCCCTGCCTCTCCCCACCCCTGCCTGCCTGGGGCCAGGGAGGGCCTTGGCGGGGCTTCCTCGCACTACAAGGCCGGCGGCGGCAGCTGGGACCGTTGGGGGTGGGGTGTGTGGCCTTATGACACACTTCCAGTGATGTCAGGGTGTGTGGCCTTATGACACACTTCCGGTGATGTCAGGGGGTGTGGCATATGCTAATGAGTTATGCTAATGAGTTCCCCTAGCTCTTTTTCTACGA